GCTTCCGACCCGAACGATAACGTTAGGCGCACATAGGTGCGAATTGAATTATGTATGCACGCCGCTCTCGTGGGATACAGCGATTGTTTCAAACCAGCTCGATTGTTCTCACAAAATTTAGATCGCAAACGGCAGATTTGGAAACAATTTTTATCGTATCTTGTCATATACGAAAGGTATATATTATATTATCAGACCATCTTGTTTTATATCCAGAATATTAAATAAAGAGAGATTATTTGATATAATTATTATCAGACTGTGCATGATTTATTATTTTAAAATACTTGTGCAATTATTTAAAAATATTTGTACAATTTAATATTCCGCGTATGTACATGTTATATAACCATATGTACACAAATGCGTTTTCATGTTACAATTATATTTTAATTGAAATTTAAAATAATTACTAATTAAAATGTATTTTATTTCCTATATCATGTGAAACAGTAGCAAATAATTCTCAAGTAATAATGGGCGAATTATTTTTCCAAAATTATCAGTAAGCGGCGTCTGTCAAGTGTTCTGACAGGAATTAAAAGTTAAAAAAATTATTTTTGGATATATATTATATGATTTTTTTTCGGCTTACTTTAATAAAGAGAATACGCTTTCAAAGCTTACATTTTTGTTATGTATATAATATAATTGTGCATTTTTTTCTCTAAAAAAAAAGTAGATATTATATTTCTCTTTACGATATTTTAAAATTTGCGGAAGCATATTAATCCCGCTAGATTAAAAAGAGTTCATTATAGTCAGTATTAAGAATCCGGAGCGTTATATTCTCTTGGAAAAACGAAGCGACGCACATGTTGATTACGCGGATAATCTAGCAGTGGTCATAATGATTTGCCTGGCATGAAGGTTGTGCATTAAGCGCCGGAGTGCAAAGCGAGCGCGCAATTGCATCGCCGTCGGCGATGCCTTTAGAATCCTCGCGCTTTAAACGGCACTATTAATCATCGAATGCAAATTAAAAAGCGCGTCGTAAACAGATCTATCCCACTCCCCCTCAGCCCCATTTCCTCCCGGCGAGTATCGCGAATACGAAAATGATTAACGAGAGTTCGCGGTGCGCCGCGCGAGATCGGTACGCAAGACAAAGTGTTTACTTATTATCCACGCTGCATTATGCATTGAATATTGCGCTCGTCGTGTCGCTGCACCGCGCGAGGTCGCATTCTGTCTTCGTGTTTTCCCGCGTGCATGTATGTACCTTACGCCTAGCATAATTTACCGCGGATTTAACGACGAATAATCAAGACGAATGGAGAAATTATTTACGCGATATTGTATTCGCCTGCGTTATATGTAAATAAACTTTTGTGCAAGTTTACGCGATTGGAATGGATCGGCCTCATTGCTAAGGTCTACGAGTTTTTACGAGATATTAAATGACAAAAAAAAAAAGGGGGAAAATATTATTTCCGATGAGGCAGCTCTCTTGCGGTAGTAACTTATTTACTTCCGTTGCTAAATCACCTCGCCTTTAGCATGCCTTTTTCAAGCAGAATTGAATGGAGCGATTCTCGTGCATTCGGAATTGAAAAATATGCAACGAGCGTATATCTCGGTATATATATGATCTCAAAATGTTAAGTATGAGAAATTTCTTGGAAAATTGTTAGCAATCCGGATTGCCGTTTGCATCCTTTTCTAACGAATTCTTAATTTTCTTTTTTTCAATCTTTTAATCAAATTTAAAGAATCGGAAAAATAATGAAATTTTTTATCGCTCCACACGTTTTACTCAATATTTTGCAAGGTAATTTTACAAATCTGTTAATAATTTGAAGATGAGATGGAACAAGTGTCAAAATAGATTGCAAAATGACGCGAACGGTTATTTAAATGATTCAATTAGTTCTCATGAGCTTGTATCTGCGTATCGGGTTTTTTTGGAACGTAGAGAGAACGACATATGTTGCGGACGACTCAGGAGAGCCGGTCTCGCGCTATCTTTGGCCGGCAAAATGACGAGTCGGGTTAGGTCCGTCACGGCTATTCACGCTCTTATCCTTTGGTATCGCGCGAGTCCGCCGCAATTTGCTCTCTATTTTTCTCTCTCTCAGCCTGATATGCGTAACAGCATATAACGTCGATTCCACATACGTAATTACTTGGAACGCGCGTGCGCGTAACACCGACCTTGATGTAGTACACAAGTACGTGAGACTCTTCGGGACTATGTGTGCATTACTCGCGTCGCTCGCGGCGCGAGACGATGTATCCGCCAGATTCCGGAGTCTTTCATTATTGCTAAAAGCGTCATTATTATTATTATGTGCGTACACACACGTAGACGAGGCAACGACATTACGGCGCGGCAGATTGCTCGTCCCAGGTAATAACTTTTGCGCAACGTAATGATCGAATCGTCAGTGGTCAACAGGGGCATTTTACACAAAGCGGCCGATCGTCGACACGAGTATAAGACACGGCAATAAAGGCAAGACGCGTATATACATTCGTGCGTACATACAACACACACACACAGGTGTATTATAAGAGGGGGGAGATGCCGATAGTCATCTTCGGAAGACGCGGCATGAGAACGCGGCGTATTCGCGCCGGCATTATCCTACAAAGTGTCAATTACCCGTGACGACGATCTCGCGGATGGGCCACTATTACCACCAGACAGGCAAGACACGTTACGTCGTGATTGCTGAGGATAAAGCCCTCGAGAGTCGCGCGAAATCGCGAATATTTCGTCGTTCGTGCTTGTTTTTATTATTTTTTTTTATTAAGAACATACCATCTCTCTGCAGTTTTCGCTTCAGGGTGAACGTATCATAAAGCGATAATGTTACATGTCGTATGTTTTTTTATTTTTTTTATTTTTACCTCGAACGCGAGAACGTTAAGAAACATGGACATTTTATATCGCGTATATATATTCCCCCGGTATTATGCTATCAGAATTCAATTATAATCGCTCGCGCCGCTTCTCGGCTCTTTTATTACGTAGTATATTATGCGGTGTGACATTACGGACGCGCGATCGCGTCTGTATATATAGAATCTGCATTCGTATATACATACAGTCTATAATTAATTTATTCATGCGCGCGTAACCGTGGCTTTATCCGATTTATACATTACCTGTTGCAATTTCCCGTTTTGCGTTTTTACGTTAAAAAGATCAATTTTCGCTTTAAACGCCCGCAATGATTCCTGTAATGTTAATCCTTTATCGCTTAATTTTATAATGAGTTTTATAATGGTAATATAATGAGTCGAGGAGCGTTTTGTCTCAAGCCCTTTTCGTATAGATACACAGAGAGAATTTTCTCTTATATATTATTAATATTTTTATTGCAGTAAATATTAATCAGAGAAGCTCTTATAAAATTTTCCCAATATTGTCTCACGACTACCATGATTTTCAAGGTAAATTCTAAAAAAAGTTTCCGTGTAAAAAAAGAATAATATATAACCATTTTTGGATAGAGAAAGAGAGGGAGGCGAATATGTCTGTTTTTCTGGATTTTTTTTATTAAGATCGATCGAATAAATTGCCGCGAGGCAATCGTGATTCAAGAGTCGTTTGCGAATACTTTTCGAGTCGTTTTTCGCACGATAATCCGTGTGACTCGAGGAACCAATTATCTCCGATAATGTGCTCGTGCTCGCGACGATATACACGCGAAAAGTAGTCGCCCGAAGCTCGAGGACGATCGAGAATTATGCTAATGAGCCCGGCAATTTGCGTTCCAGTCTGTTTATCGTCGTGCTCTTGCTCACAGAACCGATTGTCTCGATTGGCAGAACGAGATTAGGCCGTTCAGTGCCAAGCGCGCACGATAAGCCCATTGTTCGAGCCTGTTCGGATTTTTCAATAAAAAATAAAGAGAGCGCGCGACGCGATCGTTTTTTGGACAAGCGAGGGTGGACGAATTTTTTTTTTTTTTTTTTTTTCGCTGTATTCGTTTAACAATGCACGGCCTCGTTATCTCGCGCCAAAAAACGCGAACGGTCTTCTCCCGTCGAGCTGTCGTTACGCAAAGTTAATAGCTGGCAGACGGCTGATATCTGTCGGGACGTTAATAACGTTCCTCCTCGGCGATTAATAACGCATATTTATTACAATTTACTTCGCGCTAGTTTGCTTTACGTGTCCGTTGCTCCGTGAGTCATTAATTCGCGCGCGATGAATTGAATTTTTCGCGAAAAAAAAAAAAAACGGAGCAATCTGTATGACTCAGCCGCTTTAGCCGATAATTATATCGAATCCAGGAAAGATTCATCGGAGAGAGGCTACGCTCGCGGGCTATTAATATTCGAAACATCATTTCCCGATACACGCCAGATGGGCATAATTGTAACGCGACGAGACTCGTCCGTCGTGCGTCATCGCGCGGATGCTATGATTGGATGCTGTGTTCATATCCGCGGATCAAAAGGAAGTGCGGGATACATAAACGATTCTCGCATCCTCTTCGTTTCGTACGTGTCGCGCTCTTCCGATACTTTCCGCATCTCATTACGAGCGGCGTTGATCGACGCTCGATTTACGGAGACGCGCGCAATAATCCTCTTTCATATATATTTTTGTCGTTATCAATTTCGCGCGGGCGCATCAATCTTCTTATATTCTCCTCCGCACATCCGCCAGTCTTCCCGTCCGACATATATACGCATTAGCCGGGGAATACGATTTTGTTCGGACGTTTTTGCCGTATACGGCTGGCTAATGGTTTCCGCGATACCATCGAAGGATCGCCCGCGGTGTGTCGTATCTTTATGAGCGCGTGCAATGACTCCTTTCTGCTCTCTCTCTCTCTCTTTCTCGCGCATGCACCGGCCTCATAAATCCGTCAACCAAACATCATTAACTCGGTGTTATTGGTGCTTGGCCGCGACTGGCGCGGCGATCTTGGCAAGTCGCAAACAGGCCTCGCTATTCTCGACTGGCAGCAGCGGGCTGATGAATCGGGACAGCTACGGAAACGCTCGCGCGATTCCATCATTTCGAGAGCGGAGCTCCGGCCGACAGTTCGAGCTTCGAGTAATTGGCGAGGAGTACGATAATGTTGGAGATGCGAGTCTCCTCTTCTATAAACTGTATATACGCGCTTTTTTTCTTCTCTTCTCGACGTTCGAATTATATACCGAGAATTTCCCGTTTCTCGTCGTTTTCCTCATAATCCGTCATATATCATTCAGGATAATTTAATTTATGTGTTCGTTTTTTTTTATGATTTCAGGTGAGTGTTTGCATTCGACCACATCATCGAGGTACATTATCGTATGTATTTTTTGAAATTTTGATTGCATGCTTTATGTTTTCCATTATCTTCTTAAGCGGTGAGACGTAGCATTTTTTGGTGCAAACATATTCATTACATAATAAGATCTCTATGTAATTGGAAAAATTCCTTTCACCAATAAATTTCGTTGAATTACATTGTGTATCGATATATACGAATTAAATACGAGAAGAATTTATTTCCCGTAGTATACATTTGTACGAACCGCTTAAGAAGTTAACATCTCGTTATTTTACGCGAGAGAAACACAGGTTTGCGCTCGTGATCGGGTGAAATTTCCTCCCTCCTCCGAAAAGGAGAAGTAGATTGTACGATGAATAGAGCTCTGGCGGAAATAAAGCGCCTCATACTAAATCACCGAAGGCAATTCACGAGCTACGATAATCGCCCTTTGTCCGTTTTATCGCGGCGCTCTTTATCGCGCAATGATCGATTTGCCGCGCGGCGCGCAATTTCCCGCTTTCGCGCGCGGAGCGAAATGCTTCCCGCGCGACGTAGACACATCGGTGGTGGCTTTAACGTAACGTTTATACGCCCGGCGATATGTTATTTACCGACGCTTTTACCGTGAATTGTTGACGTCTTACGATCGGCAGTAAAACGAACGATAAACTTAGCGCGCGCGAGGCGACAGGGCGCGTGTGCGCGCGCAAATGTTCACAATCGAAAATGGAAGTCAAACAAGCCGAGGGGGCGAGGAGGGAACGACGCGTTTTACGGTCCCCCGGAGGCGCACTCTGAAAACACGCACGATGATGTATCATACGTGACAGTTATGGTGCTCTCTCTCTCTCTCTCTCACTTTACCCCGGCGCGCGCCGTCTTCGCGAAGCACGCGTGCAAATCGCGAGCGTGCAAATCGCGATCTCGCATTAACCCGCGGTTATCGCGGAATTGCATATCACGGAAAGGAATTCCTCGCAGGCTCGTTTAAATTCAAATTTCAAGCAAACGATAAAGAGAGGCAGAGACCGGGGTTGAAAAAAATCATTTTAGCCGTATATAGGAGGGAGCTGCGTTGAGTTGAGAGTCGATTGTAATCGACATTAATTACAAATCTTTTCAACTTCCTCTCTTCACGCGCCTAGTACACAATGTTAACAATTTTAGAAAGTTTTAATATATTCATTAGAGTTGTACAACTTTGAAAACATGCAAGCGAGACTTGTGGAGGGATAATTTCTCATTAGGCGAAAGTGCTGTATTCGTATTTTGCCGAGCTATAGATGCGATATTATATCGATCGCGGAATAACAAATAGGAGAATAACTAGTTTACGATCGTATTATATGGGGGGATATTTGCGCGATTCTCGGTTGCGGTGGAAAGTAAGCTCGCCTCGGACATTGATTCCCATAGTATCGTAAGAAGGCATAAAGCGAAGAGAACGCATGTTTTATTCATGCTGTAGTGCAAACATTTGCGTTAGACGTTCAGAATTGAGGGAAAAAAATGAATACATGGAGCGAGAGAGAACGTTATTTGTCATACTTTATTAAATTCCAACATTCAATATCTTAATACACCCCCAAGTTTTCTGTTATTAAAAAATACTGCTAAAGTAAAATTAAGTTTAAACGAGGAGAGCAATTTCCATTTATTTTCGCTTTCGAGGTAATTCGCTAAAAGCCTTTTTTTTTAAATGGCTTGTAGAGCTGAAAAAACCATTAGTCTCTCTCCGCGTTTTCCCTCGGAACGAACGGACTTTGCATTTTGCAAAAGAATAACGCTACACTATATTTTCGACAAATTGGAGCAACCCCTGTATATATTATAAACGATATCCGATATAGATGTTTGATAGATATCTCGTTAAACCTCGATGTTGACAGCTGACGATAGATACGTGATCCCGCAAGTAAACCGTGCATGCATGCATGCGTGCTCTCTCGGAGCTCCTCTCTCTAACGAGCTCGACTACGAGCTGGAAACCGGGGTGACTCGCGCGAGTGAAAGCTAATGATTCGTTCCGAAGGAGAAAGTCGGAACTCTCGAACGAGCAGCCGGTGACACACGGACTCCCGTGTCAGCCTCCTCGACTTCTCGTTCTAAGGAAATCGTGTCGTCGGGTATGAAGCGATGGAATTATTATATTTCGCGCTTCGAGAAGTTGTCCAATTTAAAAGTTAAAAATAACAATGAGAGTATACCTATATATATATATATATATATCGAAAGAATCCGATTCGCGGATTTGCACGTTAATTTCGCGGTTTACCGATATACATATATATTCCGGTGTTGATTTTAATGCGCGCCGCACATCGCGACGTATATATCATTTTTGGATGCGCGTTATACAAATGATTCGCCATTCGTAAAATTTATTTACGTCTGGTCGGAAAACCCAACTATGCAAACTTGGCGCGCGGGCCGGGCATCGTTATTTGCTTTCAATGAGCCGAGCGTTATTATGTTTCGCTTAGTAATCAAATCCGGTGATTTCGGCGTATGAACGTGACAGCGCTTTTGGTCGCGAGCATAACGTAATTTCCGCGATTTTCAGTTCGATTAATGGAAGCGGGCATGTAGCCGATCCAATATTCGCGCGCGCTCCGCCCTCGATTAATTCTTTTTCGATGTCAAACACGAAATTATCGTTAATATTCCCAACGCGAGACCGTTTTATGCATACAGAATTTATTTTAGCAATAATTTCTCGCGTTTCTGTCGCTGCAAACTTAAACAGGGCCATTTGTATATAGCGGCTATCGTGGTTTATTATTATGAAATATTATATGTGCGTCCACACATATACCTCTATATTATTTTATATGAATAATTTAAAATATATATAAAAACATTATAAAAAACCCATTACACATCTCTCTCCGCTTTGCGATCTAATTTACACCAATTAAAAGATATATATATATATATATATAATTATATTTTTTAACAAACACTGCGCGACTTCTCTTTTACATCGTAATGAAAGCATAACTATCCGATAGATATCGCACGCTCGTAGGTATTTTTGTGTTCAATGGCTAGCGCGATATTATATATCGTGCTAAATAGCGACAGACGCGAAAGATGGCTCGCTATATTTTCTCCGGAAGGTTTTAAGCGAGAGAGTCGTCGGACACCCGCGGATCGATCGCTGGGTAAACCCAACCGATAGACACAAAGCATTGTGGATAGTAGTACGATGCAGCGGCATGCGAGAGAGAGTGCACAGCACTCGCAGCATTCACCAATACCATCTCCGAGCAAACAAAACGACGAACAAATGCTGGGATACCATACTGATCTGGAGCTGCAGGGGCGGATCCGCGCGTTTCGCTTTTCCTCTTTTAACACACGTTTTTGACGGCGCGACAATCGTGTACAAATCGCACCTGCAGTTTTCCTCGGAAAAACCGAATTGCGTCAGATATTATTAATGGTCTTTTTCGCGACAGTACCGCGAGAATACAAATGCAAATTATACGGTCATAAATAAAGCCATCACTATTTGCAAATCATATATAACTTTCGAGGAAATATATAGACGCGTCTCTCTCGTTCTCTCTGCGCGTTTGTATGGTAATTAAAGTGTTAACAACACGCGTGTTTGCACATTTTAACAGCCCATACGGTCGCCAATTTAGTCGTTTTGCATTTTCGTAATTTAGCGATAAATAATACACGTGAGCAGGATCGCGTTAAATTTTCGAATACCCGCAATTTTAGTTTAATGGCATCGTTGGCTTTCATTATATACCCCTCTGTTGTTAATAAAAGAAAGTCATATTTTTAAATTATATCTTCAATTTAATACGAGAAATAATACTGTGCGATAATATCGTGGATCTCAAGGTAGGAACGACTGATAATTTGCTATCCTTATGTTATTGGAATTGACGGATCTCGAGACGGTGAGAAGGAACGTTTGAGAGATGCATGTCGGCGAAACTCTCTGTCTATCTATCTATCTATCTCTAGATATTTGCGATGAATCCGTTCCTGGCGGAGAGTCCACTTGGTGTCCGGAGAGGTATACGGTGCTGCTCTTCCTCTCTCTTTCGTCGTTCTATTCCAGAGAGCTCGTTATTGAATTTGTGCGTCGAGCGAGCGAACCGACGATATCGCCTTTCAATATCGCTTCATTTGGCTCACGTTCATTCGATTTGCGGGAATATCTCTGACTGCCGACCGCTCTTCGGGGCGACAGACCCCTTACCCCGATACTTCTACCTCCCCCCCCCCTTACTCACCCCCTTGTCGTTGCTCGTCTCAAACTAGAGCTTTTTAAATATTAAATGTTATTCGGAATCGAGCGGAAATTAATCGGATCTCTCGGAGCTTCTCCCGCCGAAGGCATTAGGGCGCAGATTCCGGTGGTATTTAGAGCTGCTGGAGCTTGTGTTTCGATAAAAAAAACCAATGAAATCGTTTCGTTAAAAGGCGTCGAATATTATGAGCCTCGACATTGGTCGGTATAAAAAAAATATAGAGAATAAGAATTTAAGCTTATTCCTACATACTTTTTCAAACGTTTCTATTCTATCCATTTTATTTGACCATTTATTATTTTAATAATAGTAATAATTCATTTTATTCTTTCTTCATTTAACGGGTTCATCAAATCTATTAGGAACAAATAGAAACGTAAATAAAATTCCATTTCATATTGAATTTCTGTAAAATTCAATTCATTATCACTTTACCCTTTAAACCAATATATTTATTCAATTTTTATAAATATCTTTGTTCTTTTAACATGAGCACAGGTGCTCAATCAATCGAATCTTCATACATTTTTATTAGACACACATCTTTTTGTGAAAAAATATAGTTGAAATGTTTTTATTTTATAAAAGAAATAAAATGTTCGAATTTTGATTATGATAGAAAAATTACAATCTCTCTTGATTTCTAAATCTACTTTTATCTCGCGAATGCTTTTTTTAAAATTTCCTATTAAAATGACACGTAAAGGGAATTTATCGCGTAATCTAAGTAAGTAAATTATCTGCATACATACGTCTGTCTG